GAGGGCACGGCACTGAGGATCCATTAAATCTGAAATATATATTTTACTGCAACAAAGATCGATGAGCAACATGTCCCTGTTGCTGTTACGCTCATCCTGCATCGGACCATAAATGTATGAAAAAGATTAATCGCTCTCAGTCATTGATTTGAAGGATAATGCTCCAAAGAAGTCACTCCATTATTGGTAAAAGGAATCTAATGCAGTATGATGGAAACAAAAACATTCATATCTCTTGACACCTCATCATAGCCGGCCTCAATACAGACAGGGAACTGATGGCTGCAGAGCTGATAGCTTCGAACCCAAACAGAGAGGAATGTAAAGTAGGACTTGTGATTTCAGGACGGTGCAACAACACCTCTTTTCTTCAGCCGTGTCCCCAGTTATATCCTGGCCCTCTAATGAGAGGCCATGAAAGGCCACAGTGTGTGCGTGAGGCCCTTTGCGGTGGCTCCCAGGGGCCTGAGGGCCATGTGACCTCATTGGGAGGAGGATGCTTCAGGAGGAGTGCTCCACTCCTGCCAGTCAGACAGTCAACAACCCCATACTGTAACTTCTCTTCAGCTGTGTTATTTTCAGACGTCTGATACTGTTTACTCCCCTCTGTTTACAAATCGGGCAGAGGACGAGAATCTGATTCAAAGCAAATATTATATTAAATATTTGATCAGTTACTTTGATGTAACAATAAAGTTTAGTCAAGTGAAGTAATAAACTTCCCTCTGTTCAATGTGACTTTACAAGCACTTAAAACCATCCACAATTAACACATAGCTTGGAGTAATAACATCTGCCGTGCCTTCAGACATGCACACTCAGCCAGCTCCTGAACTTTTCAAGAATTGTAATGGAAATGAAATACTTGCGGAGATAAGGCTCGGCTTATTTCCTCATGCTTTGAAGCACAATTGCCCTTTGATTATGCGCTCCCTTCAAATATTTGCATGGCACCCCTTTTTCTGCAAACTCACCCTCTCCAAATACAAGTGCATGTGTAGCCCTTGTTCAGCTGAGGATGTGGAAAATATTTAGAATACATACACAACCCATAGGCAGTGCGTTCATGACGATAGAGTTCAAATACTGTGGATTTACTCGGTTCGTTAAGGGGCTTTTCACCAGCTGAGTATATACTTTCTTTTGGGTAGAGAACCTCTCCAAACTAAAACATCAGCCTCTTCAGCCTGGATATACCTACAATAACCTCTATCAGATACAAAGTTGATCATTTAAAAGATTGGGTGCTATTTTTAATAGTGGTTTGAGCATACAGCAATATTCTGACAAAAGAGATTATGCTCCAAAACTAAAGGATTTCTCTGCTTAATAAGTTTTAGTAGAGAGTGCCCTAAACCTCCAACAGCAGCATTTGTATTGATGTTATTTGCCCTGCATTGAAACCAGTAAGTGGCTAGGTAGACAACAATGTAATATTAATGAGAATAAACAGAGCATGAAGCTGAATTGTTTTGTATTCAAATAATGCTTTTGTTGAGCCAGCAGAGCCATACTTTGCCCTGCACCTCCAAATGCTTTGTATCGCAGTTGATTTATGATGTTTTTCCAGCCATAAACACATTTAACCTCCGACCCATAGAAAATGTGATTTCTTTGGAAAAGAACTGTATGATAAATTACGATGCACCTCCTTAACAATGACTTTGCCAACACTGCCTGTTTAATCAGTGTCTGCTTCTCTGTAGACCGGCTCTACGCACATTAGGGCTGCACGATATTGGAAAAAACTCCCATTGTGATTTTTTCCCCCCTGCGATATATATATTGCGATATGAAAAAATACAGGAGTTGAAGAAAATAGCGGTTTTTTTTGTCCGCAAACCATCCTTTCTTGAACTTTAATGCTATACAATTGGTATTTTTTAAACTATATTTAACTATATTTAACCGGATGAAGGATTTTAGTCACGGACGTTTGGATCTTAAGTTATCAGAGCAACAAGCTGAGCTAGCTCGGTTAGCAGCGCCGAACTGCCCTGGAGAAACACATGAAACTACTTTATTCAGTGGTTTTACCTTTAATCACCGGNTCCGTTTGCTTTGGAGAATTGTTTGTGATTGGTGGTTTGCTGTGCATGCAGAGCCTGCATGTCACTCACTCAAGTACCCCTAACATGAGAGCCGCGCGAGTTTTCCTTTTGTAGTAAGCAGCAAAATAATTGTAACATGACGTGTTTGAGTTAATTTGCCTTCTTAATATCGCATGTCAATTTTGCACGTCCTGCGATGTGAATATCGCGCATGCGCATATCGTGATTATCATCACGACACGATATATGGTGCAGCCCTAACGCACATGTATTCCTCAGAAGCACATTTCCTGCCCCATGAAAGCAACATGGGGTAAATCTTCTTTGCCTCGTTTCCTTCCACTCCTTTGTCCTTGTTTTACACCAACTCTACAACTGCCTCTACATTTGACTAAGTTAGCTGCTACCCTTTTCTACACTGGAAATAAACTAATAAGTTCATGGGATGGTATAGCTGCCCACACGCAGATTCAAGTAGGAGGGGGCATATGTTTACACCTGTAGAAATGATGGCGTGTATATAACTGGGACAGAGGAATAACTACGTTTGTTTTTGTCTGTGTTTTGTTGGTGTTGCAGTATCAGTAGTTTCTGGGGGTCTGATGACGTGGATATCAGGGAGAGATCTCCATTTCTTTTGTCCTCTTAAGGGTCTTCCTGCCTGTCCACTTCCTTCGAGACAAAAGAGGAGCCAGAGCATAGAGAGGGCATTTTCCTGAGGTGATGTGATTAAAGGCCTCTTTCTGGGCTGCAGCCATTCAGATGCCTCGCACACGCCACGACTGCTTTAGCTAATTGAATTGTCGGAGAAGCAGACAGACGGGATTGGAGCTAGCACCCAAGACCGAGACATTGAATCGATAAAGTGGCACTCAAATAAAGTCGGGCAGTCGCTGTGCCAACGATGAAAGAAAGATCAGATGGCTTTTTTTTTGGATAAAAACAAGTGGTTTCTGATTGTTTCAGTTGAAAGTAACTGAGCTGGTGGTTTGAATTCGTCTCATGTTGGATAAGGTAGAAACTATTGTTCTTTTAACTAAAACATGTTAACAATTACAAAAGTGGCAACTTCATACAGAATTGTATTTACAATTGTAATTGTTTTTTTACTACCCTTTTTATGCATGAATATGAACGCAATAGTTGTTGAGACAATTAACTCAAAACCAAACATTTCAACCTCATGGTATCAATAGAGGAACAGTCAGCGATCACCAAAGTCATAGGCTTCGCCCTCTGGGAACTCGCGTTTATTCACCCTATAGATTCTTGAATCCTCTCAAATAATGTTGGACAGACTAAAGGACAGACATTTGCATTCCTAGAGCCCAGTGTATGGATAAAAACAGATCGTAAATAATAGGGCTGCTCAATTAATCGTATTTTAATCGCAATTACAATTTTGGCTTGCAACGATTACGAAAACAACGTAATCGAAATAAAACGATTATTTTTTTTTTAATTTTTTTTTTTATCAGTTTTTCAGTTGAATTACACTTAAAGTTCAGGGTAATCAAGTGTTAAAAACATACTGTTCAAATATCTTTTTTCAATTAATGGATGTTTTCAAAGTAAATGGATAATCGTTTTTAATAATCTATTGACCCAAATAATCGAGATTATGATTTTTGTCATAATCGAGCAGCCCTAGTAAAGAATGTAATTTAAATCAATAATCACTCTGATCGATGACGTCTCTGCACACTAAAGATCAGTCTGGTCAGATAAAAGACAACAAGAGACAAAGTGAGGTCCATGACCAAAGAAAGGTCATCCAAGGACGCTGGTTCTGTGGTTCTGTGGTTCTGTGGTGAATAGTAATTAGAAAACTGCAGTCTCGTAGGACGGAGGAGGTACTGGAGAAATGACGTAACTCTGTATCAGCATGATGGTGCTTATTTGGTGGGCGCATTAATTAACTAAGTGCTCGGTAACTATGAGTGTTTTGCAGTTTAATGTGATGAGGACATCATTGGTCCTTGGGGAGATGAAATCATGGATCATGAGATTGTATTTATTCATGATTTAGAGGCACTTGAAATGTTTGCCTTTCCCATCTGACACATCTTACTCTGTCCTGAGTAACACTGAGTGTGTCTCACCCGACATAGTGCAAATGTTTGGGAAGTGAACGTTTATCAGATAGCTGGCTGATGCTCCAGACTGCTATTCCTCTTTATTCAATCATCCATGGCAGCCTTAATGTTGTCACTTTATCAAACTCATCAGCCTGCTATAGAAGGCTCTCTGTGTCCAGACATATACTAAATTCTATCAATTCGGCTGGCAATAAAGCAGGACAACTCTGTGCTACGTTTTGTGGGAGGCAATTGGCTTAAAAAACAAAGAATACAGAGAGGGATGGACAGATTAGAAACGTGTTCACTGAGGTCGTTACCTACAGTATGCAGGAGTGGGTGTTGGGCAAGGCCCTGCAATTAGGACTTTTGTGATGAATGATAAACTGTTTGAGTTCTAGCTTGTTTAACCTGCTGCCTTGAAGGGACACAGAGAGGGAGTGTTGCAAGACTTGTTCTAAGCAAACTCTTACAATGCCATGAACTGCTATTTGTTTTGCCTGGGGCCATTTAAAAAAAAAAGAAAGAATCAAGTATTTGTTTTGACGTTGCGCCATCTGTGTTGTCCGGTTTCAGGTATTACAGTTTATTTAGAATATTAAAAAAAAACCTGCTTTTTGGTTCTCAGTGATGTAAACACATTAGAGAGAGGATGTAGCTGTGTGTGAAAAGGCTGCCACTTCACTCCTGGTTCCCTGGGAGACTGGTATGGTCAGCAGCAGCCCCCTCCCCTCCCGCCCCCCCCCTCATCCTCTTGCTGTTTCTCCCCCTGCTTGTGAAGGAGGAGGCGTGTGAGCAAGGAAGAGGCAGGGCACGATAGCCGAGGCTGCGGGAGTGGAACCCAGACAGCAGGCAAAGCATAACAACACACATGTTCACACACACACACACACACACACACACACACACACACATGCTCAGTCAGCGTAAGTGACACAAGTGCTGGCTCCATTCAGCCCTGAGTTGACTGACTCACCGCTATCCATTAGCCGGCATGCCGCAGAGAAAGAGGAGTTTCACTTTTGGAGCCTATGGAGGGTAAGAATATATATCCTTATAACATGTAGAACAACTTAACCTCTGTACGACACACTGTTCTCATGTGTGTGATTGTGAGTGTGTGTTTCTGTCTCCCTGTGTGATGACTGTGCAGATTCTGTGTCTGTGCCGTTTGCTCGGGAATGCTATCATGTTTATCACAACAGCTTTTTTTGTGGTTGTATATCTCAGATGTCATTTTCGGGGCTTTCTTTCATTGAATGGACCTTAGCAGACGGCTGCTTCTGCTTGAAAATGAATCATTTAGGGTTATGTTCTGTACAGTAATGGCAAGGCATTATAAACAACAGAGAGATAAAGAAGGTATGGTGCAGGTTAGAGGGAAGGTCTTACTCAGACAGAGCTGAAGGTACGATGGATGTGAATGTTGACAGTAGGTACTTGTGTTGCTATGTAGCCCAAGACTTTACAGGGCACTGCAGAGTAGACACGCTGTCAGCAAAGAGCTTTTTAGTGACCCAAAGGTGAACAGGTGTCCCAATGCAACTGCGTGCCTGACTGCCTTTAGTTTTTTGTACCTATATTTTTGTGTGCGTATGTTGGAGTCAGAAATACCTTTAGCTTACCTCAAGTGGAGACTGTTCTTATAGATAAGGTGGGCTGTGTTGGG